ATCAACTCAAGACATAAAAAAACTATTTTCGTCACCTCCATTTTCTCTCACTCATACCCTGAAGGGTGCCAAGCATGAATCTCAACTGGCTACATTATAGTAACTATGGCAAGAGTATGCATTATTGAGCTGAAGTCGTTTTACCCAAACTGATATACCTTATTTTAAACTGTTAGATCTATATATTAAAAAAAACCTACCGATTGATCAGGCCGTCAGAGTGCGTATGTACAACACATGTATCCAGTTCCCTCCTCACGGATGAAACGAACCTACTGGCTCTCGTCTCTTTGTTTCCTTACCACAATTAAGTTAACCACTGAATAAAAGAAGATCCTAAAAATTACCCCGAAAAAATATCCACCTTATTTTTTTAATAAAACTGGTAGACTAATTACTTCATACCATTAGACATCTAACGACTTTCTACCAACTTAATTATATTTCTCAACTTGTATACCAGGTCTATTTACCTATACAAATATGTAAAGCTAAATCAATCTACAAAGGTACAAATAAATCTGTCTATGAATGGAGCTCTTTTTTATTACTATATATCTCCGTCTTATAATGGATCCTAAAATTTTATACCCACTCTGTTCCAAAATATAACAATTTTTAGCACTTACGATTTGTCCCAAATATAACAACATTACCACCAACATTCCCTTCCCAACTAATCATAACTCTAAAACTTCTTATATTCTGGGACGGAGGGAGTAGAAATCAAGGAGGAATGAAAAAAAAATACTAAGATACCCATCATTAAATAAGGCTCATTAAATAAGGAGATGGTTAGTGTAATGTTGGATAAAAATTAAATGAAGAATGGCTAGATGGAACGAGTAGTATTAATAATTCCTTATATTTTAGGATATAAAATTTAAATCCTTCGATTTATGGATGGAGGTAGTAGAAGTAAATAGAAGTACGTGAGTATTTGTTTAATTAGATAAAAATGTCATATTATCATATTTTTAATAGAAAATTTCTTATATTAATATATCGTCAAATCTACGAAGACATATTTAGTATACAAGAAAAAAAATAAAGTTTAAATTAAGATGCTAAATATTTTTAAAAATAAAAGCATGTAGTATAAAAATGATATTTTTATATGAACCAGCTCCATTATTGTGATATATTTTTCTCATAAATTTAAGACGACGTGATGCAAGTAATTTTAGTTTACAATTTGTAACAACCCGTCCTTTAGAACAAGGCAGCCCAGCCTCCATCCAACTGGCACGCTTACTTATAAATATCACCTCACTTACACTTTTATTCTCGCTTCGCATAAAATAGTCAACCCAAAAATAATATGGTTGAAGGGACAATGCATCACAGGTTAGCTACACTCTTGCTTAAATAGCAAGATAGTACTACTACTCATGTGCACACAATGCTTATAGACAACACATGTCAAATCCTTTAAATAAAAAATATAGACCACATCCTAATTGCACTAGGATTTCTAAGACACCCCCTCAAAGGATCCGACGTTCCTGTCGGTCCAACTTATCTCCATAGTCACATATGCATATAGACAAATATCCAGAAACATGTCCCCTCTTAACGCACATCCGTACGTCCAGTGATCGAAACAAGCTTCCAAAACAATCCCAAAAAATATTGATAAACACAGATTTAGAAGAGTAAAAAAATATTTTTTTTTTGAAAAAAAAATCTTATACATAAATATTCATCACAAAATTTCAAACACCATTAAATAAGGTGCCCGCGCATTTGCGCGGGCTACCTTCCTAATTTCATTAGTAAATCTATAGTTATGCGATATTTAGCATTAAACATGTAGTTTTGTGAAAATTAATTGTTAAATTTGTAGTTTCGTGATACATCACTTTAATTGTATAGTTTTGTGATAATTTAGCCAAAGTATCTGTAGTTTTTTGAAATTTACTCAATTTCATAAAATTTAGATTCAATGAATATTCTAGGTTGGAAAAGTGCAGTCAATCCTATAGTAGTACTGTGATTTTGCCAAATTTTATAGTCAAAGTTCCTCATCACTACTGTCGAGAAAAGTTCTTCCATGGCTCCATGTCAATGTTCAGAACATCGCACCAAATGAAGCATTTCCTAGTAGGCCATAATCTGTCCATCAATCATTTGCATAAAATGGTTTGATTGTAGTGACTGCAAAATGGAATCTGGTTCAGGTCTCCAAAAGTCGAAGTACCTTCGCAATCAATCATGTGAGTTGCTAAAACAACCCATCCAAATTTCCCAGTTAGTGTCATTTCTGACTTATTATCCGAATATAGTTGCTGCACTAACTGCGGCCGCTACAAATCCAATGCTCTTGATATTTCTGCAGAGTCCCTGTCATGCGTGGCTATATACTCCTATTAGGCAGGTCAATTCGTAGCCGGGAAGAAAATGACGAGGATTCCCGATACTGCTTGTCCCGTTGCAGAAGCCACAGGACTGACGCCGACGTCCGTGCCGTAGTTAGACCGTGCCACCACGTCCCTTTCGGCTTATCGGCCCATTCCGGTGCCCGTCCCTGTCGCTGCGTATCTACCAGAACTCCAGAGCCGTAGGTGCTTTGCTCGAGTCATGTACCTAATCCTAAATGGTCTAATGGCGTGTGCTTGTCTTGGCTCGTACTCCAGCCTGCATCTTCACGCGTAATTTGCTGCTAGTGTTTACAGTGCTCCTGCAGCTTGGGTTTTCAGATAAAACGGTTTAACACTCCACGTACTTGCCAGCGCAGGATGATGCTCCAAGTGTTGGCAAAGTGGCAACGGTTTTGCCGTGACGGTGAGCTAGTGGGAGACCCCAGGATTTCAGGTTCCGTCTCCTCGCGACCGCGCCGCGCGTCGGTGCACGCCACCGACCGCCTTCGGTCGAGCGCGGCGCGCGTCTACCGGGCGAGGGCGAGGCCACGGCCACGCGCCGCCTCCACTCCACACTTCCACAGGCCCGGGTCCCCCTTCCTTCCCGGGGATGGCGCCGCGCCGCGCGACGCCGGCATTTTCCGTTTTGTTTATGCTATCTGGACTGGAGCATCAAGTACGGCCAAGTGTGTGGAAAAATCGCGGCCAAACCTTGGGCACGCCTCGCGCCCGCGCACCCAGCCGGGACGCTCCACCTGTCCGCTCGGGGCATCGCCCGTGCACCACGTCGCCACCGCGCGGTCTATCCGATTCAAAACCCTCGCGTCTAGAAAAAGGCGATATGCGGGGACGCTGCGCTTTATTTTAAGCAAAGAAAATTTATTGTACTGGTGCTTTTTATTAGTGCTAGTATTACTCGTACTGCTGTATTTTCTTGTGTATAGTACATGTACCGCAACGGTAGTACTGCTGCTGCTGCTAGTATTGTACTGTAGTTTTTTTTTTCTCAGAGAAAAGAACAGAAAATAAGAGAACGGAGGAGAAGTAAAGTGGCTGAAACGGCTCAATTAAGCACGCTTTCCCGAGAGGCCGAGACGTACACCATGGCTGACAATGCGGTTCAGGCATGTTAAGTCGCGTTTTGTAAGGTACGCCCTTGGAGAACTGGGTATTCACATAATCACGTGAAGAACCATCAAGCGTACAACGGCTCTGGCCTGGCTAGTTAAATTTCCCCATTTATGAAGGTGAATCTGGTACTCTTACACAATCATCGAAGGATTTTACATGTTCAAAAAGGAGCATCATTTAACGTTGTTCGGCATTGTTATCTTGTTATAGACATTCAGCATTGTACTATCGTGTTATAGACATTCAATATTTGTCAAAATGGACGGAAGAAATAAGTGGAGCTCGAAACAGTTTTGGGAATTTATGAGGAACGCCATGCTTTGTGTACACAATAAGATACAACAGCGGAGTAATGATGTGTATACGAATACGACTTGATTACTATATCGATTGGTTAGACGACGATGATGTTAGCATCCATTTTCATTACTGGGAGAGGATGATGTGTATACGAATACGACAACATAGGTAGCCGATTAGGTATTGAAACCTAACCGCCTAAATACTTGATCAAACAAAAAAGTTGTATCTGCATCGCACGGTATGGCTTGAATGGAACATCACAAGTTATGAACTTACAAAATTTGACTACTCTCGAATCAAAACCGCAACAAATGTATGAAAATCAGAAAGATCCGCATTAAAGAGGAAATCATTATGATATTTAATACTAGCTGAGTAATCCCTACACGACACACAATCCCTACACTCTACCTGGCTAACCAACAAATTCCAGTACCAAAGTAATCAAGCCAAGCCAGCTAGTATTGCACCTCGGTGTAGCGTGAGCCGTGGCCAGTCCCTCAGCAACAAATGGAAGCCACCTTGGATGTTTGCTTATAATGGCCACTAATTTACTGGACAGCTGTTATACTTCAATACCTCCCCGCACTTTCTGTTTAAGCTTAGCTTGATAATTTGTACTCACACCGAGTACCAGCAAAGAAAAACGTAACTCACTGGCGCGCCCGGAGTTAAAACACGAAGATCACTCGCAACAGCCGGTCGAGATGAGGCCTCATCCCCACAAAGTATTTTCTACACCTAGATGCTATGCATGTAATTTAAATAGATATATAAAAATTTTATAAAATTTAATAAAATAGTACATGATAATATAAGACACTATGCAAACATGCAAGTCTAAATTCAATCGATATATGAAGAAACAAAAATAACAAATTTTGTCTGTACGGTACGGGTACTATTCACTGTCTGATTTTATTATTTTTGTTTCTCTAGTTGTAGATCCAATTTAGTCCTATATGTTTGTGTATAGACTTATATCATCACAAACAATGTTACTAAATTTTTTTAATTTTTTTTATAACTATTTGAGTCGTATGCAAATGATAGGTGCCATAGCACCTAGGTGTGAAAAAAATTTTCCGCCTCATCCCAATTCCCACCAATACAGGGAACGGCGAGGGCTTGATCCCATAAAACAACACGATAAAAAAGGCGAAAAATCTCCCCCCTAAAACGCGACCTGTGCGGCCCTGGGCGGAGAATAACCCGGCGGCGGCCTACGGCGATATAAACCGTATATTGAGGGAGCAAGCCGTGGTACAGAGCAGAGGAGGGGGGAGAGAGAGAGAGAGAGAGAGAGAGAGAGAGTCGTGTGTGCGTGTGTCCCCGGGGTTCTAGCTTTGGGATGCTGATGGCGACCGTCTCGCCGGCGCGGAGGGAGCCGACGCCGCAGGCGGTGCGGGCGTCCCCGATGCCATCGGCGGCGGCGGCGTTGGTGAGGAGAGGCGGTGGTGGTAGCGGGGGGACGGTGCTGGGGAAGTACGAGCTGGGGCGCGTCCTGGGACAGGGCTCGTTCGCGAAGGTGTACCAGGCGAGGCACCTGGAGACCGACGAGTGCGTGGCAATCAAGGTGCTCGACAAGGAGAAGGCCGTGAAGGGCGGGATGGTCCACCTCGTCAAGCGCGAGATCAACGTGCTCCGCCGGGTGCGCCACCCGAACATCGTGCAGCTGTTCGAGGTAATGGCCAGCAAGACCAAGATCTACTTCGTCATGGAGTATGTCCGCGGCGGCGAGCTCTTCTCCCGCGTCTCCAAGGGACGCCTCAGGGAGGACACCGCGCGGCGCTACTTCCAGCAGCTTGTCTCCGCCGTCGACTTCTGCCACGCCCGCGGCGTGTTCCACCGTGACCTCAAGCCCGAGAACCTCCTCGTGGATGAGAACGGGGACTTGAAGGTCTCGGACTTCGGCCTCGCCGCCGGCCCCGACCAGTTCGACCCCGACGGTCTGCTCCACACGTTCTGCGGCACGCCGGCCTACGTCGCCCCCGAGGTGCTCAGGCGCCGCGGATACGACGGCGCCAAGGCGGACATATGGTCATGCGGTGTCATCCTCTTTGCGCTCATGGCCGGGTACCTCCCTTTCCATGACCACAACATCATGGTTCTGTACCGGAAGATCTACAATGGGGAGTTCAGGTGTCCAAGGTGGTTCTCCAAGGATTTTACTAGATTGATAACGCGCCTTCTTGACGCAAACCCCAAAACTAGGATCACCGTGCCAGAGATCATTGAGAGCGATTGGTTCAAGAAAGGATACAAGCCAGTCAAGTTTTACATTGAGGATGACAAGCTCTACAACCTGTCTGATGACGTGCTGAACTTGGAGCCTGCTGATCCTGTTCCCCCACCATTGGGTTTGGCACCTCCTGTTCCTCCACCTCCACAAGGGGATGATCCTGATGGTTCAGGGTCTGAGTCAGATTCATCAGTCGTATCCTGCCCGGCCACATTGTCAACTGGGGAGAGCCAGAGAGTCCGTGGGTCACTACCACGCCCAGCAAGCCTTAATGCATTTGATATCATATCATTCTCAAAAGGATTCAACTTGTCTGGGCTGTTTGAGGAGAGGGGGAACGAGATCAGGTTTGTATCTGGTGAGCCCATGTCTGACATTGTAAAAAAGCTGGAGGAGATTGCAAAGGTCAAGAGCTTCACAGTGCGGAGGAAGGACTGGCGGGTGAGCATAGAGGGTACACGCGAAGGAGTTAAGGGGCCTCTAACCATAGGCGCGGAGATATTTGAGCTTACACCCTCCCTTGTAGTAGTGGAAGTAAAAAGAAAGGCAGGTGATAATGAAGAGTATGAGGATTTCTGCAACATGGAGTTGAAGCCAGGAATGCAGCACCTTGTGCACCAGATGCTCCCAGCTCCAAATGGAACTCCTGTGAGTGAGAAGGTTGAAAGGTAATGATTCTCTCCTGATTTTACTTATATGCATTGTAGCTAAATAGGGAAGCAAGGATTTTGTGTTGTTTAACATGCGCAACCGGGCAGAAAGTTAAATTGATTGATGCTTCAGTTCCAATAATTACATAACAATGTTTCACTTCTTGACTATACATCCTGTATTTCAAATTGAGCGTTCAAGAGTTTGTTTGCTAAAAGTTAATTGATTTTTATTCATGCTATTTGTTTTTGTTAACGTATGTTTAATTCACAATCATGCCTATTGCCTAATACCAGTATGTAGAAGGAATTAGATTTCCTTGCACGGACACAATTTAAAGTAGGAAAGCCTTGCAATTGAAAACCTCGAACAACTGGAACTTTTATTATTTCTAGAGTGGTGAAAGAATGCTATAGGTTTTGCTGTTAGATTTTGCCAACCATTAACTAGCTTGCCTCCTGCAATCCAATTTCACAGCGCTTGGATAATGCGTATGTCTGGAAATTTGCTGCCACTTGACCATTGCAAGTGTGCTTCGTGAAAAGAAGCAAATTTGAATGGTTCTAATCATCCTAGTTTGTGGCTGTTAAACTGATTATAGATTGTTTTGTTTCATTCTAGAGCATGATTTGGTTTATCTAACATCTGTGCTCTTTTAATCTATGCTACGAACTCAATTTTTCGTAAAATCTTTCCCGCACCCTATTCTTATGGACTTTTTAGCTTGTGATAGATTGTATAAGATAAATGTCTTTTCTAGTCATCAGTTAATGAAAACATTTTCGCTTGTCTTATCTATCTTTTGGAGTTACTTTAAAAAGTGATTATGCACTGTTCTACTGCACCTTAGCTTGTAAACTTCCTGCTCTTATTTATTTTTCTTTATGTTTCCATTTTTTTTGGATAATGGAATTCAATCCAGTATTGATGATGATTCCATGTTACCCCAGCATTTATTGGTGTTGAATGTTTACATGTGTCATAATTCATATTGAAAAAACTTTTGAAAACAAATATAGAAAGGAACCGCCAATATCATGTCCTTCTGGTTTCCCCATTGTTGTTATCACCAACTTCCATGGATTGGCATTGTGCTGCACATCAGCATATGGGATAGAATGGGAGCTTGAAGGGAATGCTTGGCAGTACCTCCGAGTACCGAAATGTCATTTTTACAAAGAACATGTGCTTCACTAGATTTTCAGCATGCTAGGTAAATGTTGAAAGTGCTGTATAGGTTTATTATCTGGTGTAGCTCCCTCTGACATAGTAATAACAGGTTGCTTTATGGGAAACCTGGTAGATTTTATCTATTTAATTTGGTGAAACCATGAAAATGCAAACATCATGGCTGAGACATTGAAAATTACAAAACAGAAAGGGCGCATAGCAACACCATATACTATTCATGCAAACCATTTCTACTATTTTAACCTGTGAGTTTTTGATGGTTTCTAGTTTCTTTTTACATTCAAATGGGCTCTAATTCCTGATTTTAGGAGGTTCCTTTCTTTTCAGTTTCATTGCTGTTATTGATAAATTATCTTTTTTTTCATTAATGATAACTTTATACTTTGATGGATCTTTGTTGAACACTTAATCTGGTGCACATGTTAGCCACCCACCATTATAGGAGAACACATGGGACACATTTACCTTCAGAGGTAAGGAGGGTTATGTGCGTAAGCTGTGCCTCGGAGGTAGATAGGTGTGTTTCCAGAAGACTTTTTGTTACATTTGTCAACCTAATTTTCCTCCATCGGAGTAGTACATTCTGTACTGCGCAATACTAGCATCAGTTAGGAAAGTTGGTTCAAATATGCTCCATGGTACGTGGGTGTACCTGGAGCTGTTCTGTAGTCTTGTTTTGAATCTTCAATTTACCTTGAAGAATTTTGCTTTTGCCAGTGAACTGTTATAGTCCATTTGAATTGTTTGAAATGCTACTACAACCGGAAACTATTGCTTTGGTTCTCATAGTTCAGAACTCAATAGGAAATAGAAGTCTATTGCTGTTATTACATACAAGTGTGATAAGACTAACAGACTGACATTTGATTATTTCCTTCTTGTCCTGCAGGTCTTCAAGCTTACAGGCTCCCCTCACCCTGAAGTTGATAGGAACAGAAGGCAGCATGAGCTAGAGACAGGAGCTTCCATGCAGTTGACAGGGAGATCTCTTTTACCGGACCAAACCTGACCGGTCTGGTTCCCGTTGATGAGCTCGTGGTTTTGATAACTAGCAAGAGTTCTCTTTCTCTGGATGGCCTAAGATCGTTTTTAGGCAATGGATCGAGACAGTGGATGTAGATACTCCGGTTGTGGATGGTGCCCAGGTGGGCGTTTAAAGTGGATGTAGATACCCTGGTTGTGGTGGTGCCCAGGTGGGCGTTTAAAGTGGATTGTACTGGCCAGTTTTCTCTCGACTTAGCGGCTGTGTGCATCTGCGGTTTGGTTTCTTTGGCAGCATCGAATAATTTTGTGGTAACCATGATTCTGGTCGGGGGACAGTTGATTGAGGTATGGGAGGGATATGCATGAGCCGGGCATGTGCCGACCGATTGGATTCCGAATCTTCCATTCCTGATGCCATTAGCCCATTATTGGATGCGAGGTGACAGATTTGGGCACTGCAGTGCGGTTGGTTGGTTGGGGCCTGTGGGGACTGGGGGTCGAGATTACTTGGACCTGCTGTGCTGCAGCGGCTTTGGCTGAGGTCACCGAGCACGTGAGAGCATCGGTGGGTGGCATGGTTGGCCTACCCCGGCAGTGGTGGCGGCCGGCTCGGGCCACGAGAGCGCCGCGCCGTTTGTGGTGGCGCACGGCTCTGCAGTCGGCGGCGGGCCCGTTGTTGCGCATTTCCGTGATAAAGATCACCGTGGTATGTCGTATTCTGTTATACAATGCTCTTTTTGTGGATTCGAACTTCGAATATGGAGTTATGGACACGGGTGGTCATCGATGGAGACAACAGTGGCGAACCGGCGATTTCATATGGCTCAGTGAGATGCTTTAAGGTACATAACAATTTGAGGTATGCATTCATTTAATCATGACATGGCATGATTAACCTTGGATTTGTGTGAAAGCTATCACTATAACGACCTGTACTCTTGGTGATATTCCCCACCGTGCCAATTTCCTGGTATCTACACTCCTCAACGGATATGTCGTGGAAATGCAGCATTTCTAACCCAACAGATACAGGGATCATATTTCATCCTACAAAGATTATGTGAAAGAGATCAGCATAATAATGGAAATACGCTTAAAAAGTAAAATCATGAAAATTCCATGTGATAGTTAGGATCGACAATGACAATGATTATAATCATATCACAATATAAGATATAGCCTATTGTAATATAAGAATTTGATGCTCTGTTTTATAATGTTACTACCTCTTTACTTCTTGTTTTTGAATTATTCTGCCTCCACTTTTCTTTCTAAGAGTAAATTGTATTTTATACTAGCTAAAGCGTAGCATGTTTCGCTTTGCACTGGGTCGTTTAGCATATACTTTCACTTTACACCATGTTGTATTGAAATAAGGTTCACTTAACACTACGATACATCATGAAAAACAATTTCATGAACTTTACAAAATATGGAAGAAACGTTTGTGTAACATGGTTTCATAAATTTTATTCATACTTTACAGAATTTCCTCGTAAATATATGACGCAACCTAGTGTAACGAAACTTGTTCAGATGTACTCTGGTATAAAGAGAAAATATGTTTACCCATTACAAAGTGAAATAAGGTACAATCTACCAAGTGCAATTTATTCTTCTTTTAACAGTCAGGTTAATAAAAAAAGAGAGCATATATCACTTATATGCTTGGGGTGAATAAACATAATGGTCCTGTCATTTCATTTTGTCGAATTTTGGGCTCGTTTGGTTCTCTGCCATTGGTAACCTTGCCAATTTTTTCTGCAACGGCAAGAATTGGCATAGCCAAAAAAAAGGTAGTGAACTAAGCCAAATAATTTGGCAATGTTAATTTCTTTTTGCTACAAATCAAACAGTAGATAATAGTAGTTTTTTTTTGTTTGGTTGGGTTTGGCCACAAGCCAAAAGAGCCTACTACTATTTATTATCATTTAGTTCAAACAATACTTTCCCCCTCTTGTAGCAACACCCTTGTGATTTATGAGGGTCGTGCCTCACATAAAAAACTCTCGGCTCACACACACACAAGAAAAAAAATAACATGGCCTTTTAATGAACTACACTCAATTTTTTGGTTCGTACTTCATCACATAAGATTTACGGGTTGCAAAAGGCTCGAAAAGCCAAACGAGAAACACTAAATATTTTCAATACCAACGGTAACTCCAGCTTAAGCAATTGTAGTAGCTCAGGCACTTTTGTTAATAGCATTTGAAATGACTTAGGCATGGAAGGCACAGTGACGCCATAAAATGAGATGGAACGGAAGTGAAATATTCGAACATTGTATTTTCTTACCCCGATACACTAATCTAGTTTGTCCTTCTAAGTCCTCTTCTATATAAGAGAACTATCCTCTCAATACGCTAATGCCTACATGAACATGGACCAAACCGTCTCACGAAGTTATGAACCTAGCTCACGTACCACATTAATAGACCAATGGCCCTCTTAATTTTTCATTTAGCCATAAATACTACTACTAAATTTAGTGTTTTAAAATAAGGTGATTTTAAGAAAGAGATACGAACCTACAAAGTTACTCCCGCTATGTTAGAAAATAGAAACTAGCTAATGCCTTCTAAAATCAACAAAGTTTTTGTCTGTTTTTTTTCTTCCAAACCGTTAGAAAAGAATCCAACATCGATTCATAGCCTCAGAACTCGCTGAACAACATTATTAACTTTAATCCAACTTTACAACAGAAAATCAGCTACAAAGTATACAAGCCTACCACTAAGAAAGTAACACCTTCTGACTTTTAAAATTAGCCACACTACTGCTTGCACGACATGCTTGCCCGCTACGCCGCATGTGTTTAGGCTAGTGCGCTCTCTCTATCTCTCTCACACATACATTTATGCACGTATTGCCTACTCTGTCTCTCTCTATTCCTCCTAATTACTTAATCAACAAATTTCAAATCTTTTTAAATTATATTTGATTTGTGATGATTGCACCATTATATTTAGTGCAATTGAATCTTTATAATATAATAAAAATCTCATATGATTACATTTCTGATGAAAAGTATATATGTTTTAACGATGAAATTCAATGTTTCATGTGTGGGATACAAATGTTTCAATTGAAATCCCACTATGTTGCTAATTTTTTACTTGATTTTATGAGGGTTTTTTTAATGTTTCACTTGTTGGGACTTAATGTTTCATGTAATAGTTTATCAGTGTTGCAACCGGTATTTTTTTTGAATGTTGAATCTCTTCAAAACATTTGATCAAGTGAGCTAAAATATTTAACTTGGTGATAAAACAATTTTCTGTATGTGCTGAAGCTGTCCCAACGCCTATCTTTGTTCAGTGTTCTTTGTTTCCTTCCTATGCAACAGCTTACCATTTAGCCAAGAACCACCTAGCAATTCAATTCAATTCCATTAGTCAACAATCACATAGCAATCACTAGTTTTAATTTGATATTCACCTAAGTGACTTCGTTAATCTCAAAATATACTGGCACACTCGTTAGATACACTTATAGGGAATGCATGTATGCACATGTCTATGAGCGTATATGTCGATACTGTGTTTCGAAGAAAAAAAATCATCCAACAACATTTGTACCTCTAAATAAACTTTAGTCTCACTTTGATGGATCACATAGGAATATTTTGGCAATCTATTATATAATTAAAGGAATTGAAAAAGGAGCCTCCACGTTCGCTCTCATGGCCTAGAAATTCTCACATTAATCGGAGAAAAAGAAAAAACCAGAGTCCATATAGAAATACAATTTAGAAATAGCTGAAATTCGAAATTAAAAAATAAGGAATATTAGAAGAGGAGACTAGAGTCCATATAGAAATACACTTTAGAAATAGTTGAAATTCGGAATTAAAAAATAAGGAATATTAGAAGAGGAGTATAGAGTCCATATAGAAATACAATTAGGAAATAACTGAAATTCGGAATTAAAAAATAAGGAATATTAGAAGTAGAGTATAGAGTCCATATAGAAATACAATTAAGAAAAAAATAGAAATTTGGAATTAAAAAATAAGGAATATTAGAAGTAGAGTATAGAGTTCATATTGGAATTTAAAACCAACTAAAATTCAGAATAAAAAGGAGCCTCCACGTTCGCTCTCATGGCCTAGAAATTCTCACATTAATCAGAGAAAAAGAAAATTCAGAGTCCATATAGAAATACAATTTAGAAATAGCTGAAATTCAGAATTAAAAAATAAGGAATATTAGAAGAGGAGACTAGAGTAGTTATTACACATTAGTAGTTTTGAAAAGTTATTGCAAAATTTAAAATTATGTTGTCATTGTAATATATTTTATTAATATAATGAGAAAACATATATGCTATTATATGAGAGAAAATATAATGATGCTAGCCGCGCAATCTGTGCGGGCCACCATGCTAGCTAGTTTCCCTAAAAGAATATTGACTTCCAATTTACTATGTTTATTACAAGCCTATCCACTAAGAACTAACACATCCTAAAATTAGCCAAAGACGCCTCGTTTCCTTCCTCTCCAACACCACTGGCCAACAATCCCCTAGCAATTCCTAGCCTCAGAACCCACCGAACAAATCAAACCCCAAAACCAATTTGCAATGGTCGATCATCCACCGTCTCCATCTGTGCACGGAGGGATTCATTGTCCCTCCGGCCAATTTCCCGGCCGGCCGGAACGGCGGAACCTCGCCCATGATCACTTGAAACACCTCCCTTGCTCTTCATGGCCATGGAGACGACGAGCCAAGATTCGCAGGTGATCATGGGGCGGTACAAGCTCGGCCGGCTCCTCGGCCGTGGCACGTTCGCCAAGGTCTACAAGGCCTATAAGTTGGCCACCGGCGAGGCCGTCGCCATCAAGGTGTTCGACAAGGAGGCGGTGCAGCGGTCCGGCACGGTGGAGCAGGTGAAGCGCGAGGTGGACGTCATGCGGCGTGTGCACCACCGCCACGTCATCCGCCTCCACGAGGTGATGGCTACGCGGTCCAGGATCTACTTCGTCATGGAGTACGCGAGCGGCGGCGAGCTCTTCACCCGCCTCTCCCGGAGCCCGCGGTTCCCGGAGCCCGTCGCGCGCCGCTACTTCCAGCAGCTGATCACCGCCGTGGAGTTCTGCCACAGCCGCGGCGTGTACCACCGCGACCTCAAGCCCGAGAACCTCCTCCTCGACGCCCGCGGCGACCTCAAGGTCACCGACTTCGGCCTCAGCGCGCTAGACGGAGGCCTCCGCGGCGACGGCCTCTTGCACACCACGTGCGGCACGCCGGCGTACGTCGCTCCCGAGGTGCTCCTGAAGCGTGGCTACGACGGCGCCAAGGCGGACATCTGGTCGTGCGGCGTGATCCTTTTCGTGCTCCTCGCCGGCTACCTCCCCTTCAACGAAACCAACCTCGTGATCCTGTACCGGAATATCACGGAGAGCAACTACAGGTGCCCGCCGTGGTTCTCCGTCGAGGCGCGCAAGCTCCTTGCCAGGCTGCTCGACCCGAACCCCAAGACCCGGATCACCATCTCCAAGATCATGGACAGGCCATGGTTCCAGCAGGCGACGTGCCCGCTCGGCGACATGTCCCTCGTCGCGAGCGCGCCCTCGGTGCTGCTTGCCAGAAAGGAAGCCAGCCAGCAGCACGACGACGAGGAGGACGATGGGTTTGCACGGGAGAAGAAGAAGCGGTCCAATGTGATCATGTCGTCGCCGGTGATCGACGTGAGGCCCTCGAGCATGAACGCCTTCGACATCATCTCGCGGTCGAGAGGGCTGGACCTGTCCAAGATGTTCGACGCGGAGGAGCGCAGGTCGGAGGCGCGGTTCTCCACCAGGGAGACCACGACGGCGATCGTCTCCAAGCTGGAGGAGATCGCGGAGGCGGGGAGGTTCAGCTTCAAGCTGAAGGAGAAAGGGAGGGTCGAGCTGGAGGGGAGCCAGGACGGGCGGAAGGGCGCGCTGGCCATCGAGGCGGAGATCTTCAAGGTGGCGCCGGAGGTGCACGTGGTGGAGGTGAGGAAGACCGGCGGCGACTCACCGGATTTCCGGGACTTCTACAAGCAGGAGCTTAAGCCGTCGCTTGGCGACATGGTGTGGGCGTGGCAGGGAGGTGATTCGCCGCCGCTCGTGCCGGCGGCGGGGAGGAGGCCGATCACGAAGCGCTCTTGATATGCCGACTCGATATCGAATTTTCACGTTGTAATTGATATGCTCTCTGCTTATTGATCTCTCGTACGTGTTTGTGAAGGGTGATGGGTGAACCACCGTCCAGCTGATCTGTGAGTTTTTAAAAGCACGAATTACATTTACGTTGGCATTCCGCTGTCAGATTAAACTAATCAGAGTTTCGTAGGACGTGACATTCCAATTCTTCTTCTTTTTTTAAAAAAAAACATGATATTCCATATCCTCTTTTTTAGCTGATACTGATATCTCGCTGATCAAAACTTTGAAGTAGTGCATAGAAATATTTCGTAGAACACAGCTATCGCAAATGTCATTTTTATTTCTAAAAAAAGCTCATCTCGGCAAAAATAGGATTCTTCCCGGCTAACTGTTGGTTCATTTTGTTGTTAGATTCTAGGGCTCCCTCATGTGTGGATCTAGAGGTGATATGCTCATAGGAATAATGGTGGTTGTATTAGAGAGCGAACAGGAGAGAGAGAAGAGGGAGATAGGAACCCATACTGGCGTCGGTCTTGGAGCTTAATGTGGCCATGTCAACGGTGTGGCGGTGTGAGGGCGTCGCTAAGGACGGTATTGTCGGTGTGGGCGACGGCGGCGGCGAGACTGTGAGCAGTCCCCTCACTTCAGCGCGGTCCTAAATTGAAGGGTATTCTATGGGGAGTGTGTGTACACGGCGAACCTTGGATCGCGTGCCCCGGTAGCTCCCCCTTTTATTGTGTGCTACGTGAGAAGAGCCCACAGCCACGAAACGGCTAGCGCCCCGATCACCTCTGGAGTTCGCAACTAATATTTGTGTCCTTCAGGAAAATTATGCATCCACGTTAATATATCAACGTTTCTGTTATAATCACGTGAATCATTTCTATTTTAGTCGAAACATGGTTTGGCCATTTTATCGAAAAAAGATTTGTGTACAGAAAAATATTACTGAAATCAAACGTAGACTGAAATCCTGGTATATTTTAAGGTGGCCGTTAGTGTCTAAAACGGTATAACCTGTCTTTTGAGGTTAAAAGTTCTAAACCTGCACTGTCAATTTTTTCTTTCCCGGTTTCAGTACGAGCAATGATGGATTTTTTAAAATATATTTTAAACCTTTTAAAAATTTCTTTTATGAATAAATCCTTTAGAAAAACTTATTCCATAAATGTGCCCATTTTCTTGGCACCAGGGTCATTGGCGCCGAGATTATTGTCTCAGTGTTTATCTCCTAGCACCCCATGATAAATTAGTTGCTTATACGAAGGAGATCAGTGTCAAAAGACTTATTTTGAACATTTTTAGAAAAATTATTTTACAAATAGGTTCTCGGTATCCTTCTCTTAAGCGTCGATCCTCTACATCTCGGCAGTTAGGACGACGAGGATGTCAAGATATAAGTGTATCCTTTTTGAAATAAGTTTTTCTTATACAACTATTGATGAGGACATCCTCTACTATTACCCGCTGGCAAAGACGTAAAAGTCGGGTGGCGACCATGTGAGTCTCTGAATAATCCCACTTTGGTTAGATTGGGAGGAGGAAACCACCTTAAAAGGGAGAGCCACCCTTCCTCTATTGGACTAGTTTTTTAGGGAGATTGTGCCTTTCCCCGAGTGGGTGTGACTAAGAACTGTTGGGGTCCGGGCAACTTTAAGTTATTGGGCCTCCGCCGACGTCTTTTACTTGCTTAGCTTGGGAGGAGGAAGCCACCTTAAAAGGTCTATTGGACTAGTCTTTTAGGCCCGAGTGAGTGTGCCTAAAAACTGTTGGGGTCCGGACAAGCTTAAGTTATTGGGCCTCGGCTGACCCCACTTGGACTGGATTATTATCAACTATTTATAAAATAAGTTTTAGAAAACCAAAACATAAAAAATCCAGCGAGGTAATATATGTGTGTGTGAGGAAATGACTTGTGCTTTTCTCTACTACTTAAAAATTTTAAAGTGTTTCCGCTGTCCATAATAAAAATAAAAACCAGAGAAAAAATTTTCGTTCGAGATTAAAAAAAAAATGCCCGTATATGATTTTCTTATCTGTTGTACTCGCGCAAAAAACCAGTTAACGCACACACGCGCTCGCTCAGAGTAGGACCCGTGTGGCATGTATCCCGATCTCCTCTCTGGGCCAGCTGGGACATCTACCCACAGCCCTCAACTACAAGTCTAAAATAGGTCCTCCTTCGCCGACCTGAGCCAAATGGGCCTGTTGCCCCTGACCACACCACACAGCTTGTGCAGGACGCAATTATCAGTTCATGTGCATGCGTGAATGCGGTGAAATGATATTCTTTAGATGATTTCAAAAATAAATTATTCTATATTCTTTCTATTTTTATTTTTTTCATAATTTAATATAAATCTTTTCACCCAATATCTCAGACCATATGGAAATTGACTCTTCTTTGAGTATAGTCCCGATTCTCCCTATTCATCAAGGTTGACTCTAAATCCTCTTCTTCATTCTTAGTACCTTAATACCTTCTTTTGACAAATTTCTTTTTATTCAAATTTAGTTTAAAAACCCTTACCACTTTTATGAATTATGGTCTAAGAAATTCTCCACTATTGTCCTATAACCTAAACCAAGTGATTCCAATTTTATTGGAATTAATTGTCGACCCATCCTTTGATTCGAAACCTATCCTTAACTTTCTTCCAAATCCAAATTCCTTCATTTCGATCTAGCCACTAATTTAATTCATGTGGCTTGATACCCTCTTTGGCACAAGAATAATATTTTTAGAATAATTGCTCTTGTGCTAAGAAGGATATATTTTTATTTTCCAAATTAATCTCCTTTTAGCCTCAAATAATTTTCTAAATCCATGTCAGGTAGTTTGTGGCTAAAAATCCTATTTATTTCCTCTCGCTGCCTCTCTTGGGCCGGCTAGGCCGATCTGGGTCGAGAGAAGAAAAGGGAGTTCCGGCCCAATTTGAAAAGAAGATTTTTAGAATTTTGCAGATAATTAAGGGATGGAGTTTGAATTCAAATTAATATTTGGAAGGAATTTAGGTGGCTAACTTTTGAAATGAATCTATTTTTGGAGATAACTTTCAAAAGAGATATTTCCTAAATATTTGAGTGCAATAATGTGGTCTAAATATTAAAGCACTCAAATGGGAGGGAGGCGCACGGCGCCACAGCCCAGATCAGGATACAGAGCGAGAGGCGAGAGCCCTCGACCTCGTAGAAGGGTCGAGCAGCTGTCGCGGCGAGCCCCGCCAACCATAGGCACGCGCCTATACCTACGTGACGGTTCATTGGACAGTGTCCTTTCCCGGCAAAACTAGGGGTGTGACTGGAACTGAACTCTCAAGAAAATGTCTCTCGTTGTTTACAGTTTACATGTTACTTAAATAATTATGAAAAATTTTAAGAAAATGTATTAATATATGATAAATTAAATAAACATGTAAATTCAATTTAACTTCTACATCTCGCAACTAAAAAAATAAAATAAATTATAGTTAATTCATGTATATTTACAGTTGTCACGCCCCGAACTAGTCCCGACTGGAACTAGCCCGTGACGCTCCAAATTAACCTGTTAATCGATACCAGTCCCAGGAAACAGTGCTGGTATCACAGGAAGACAGAATATCACAGCAACAGAGGTCTCTTTATTATAGAGTAGGAGTACAGTCATGTTGGGCTGCGGACAGATCCCGAGCTCACAACTGCATTACAAAAGGAAAGCGGAAGCCAGGACTAGGACCAAACAACACAGGCGCGACTTGGGAACTAGGCCGAAACCCTAAAACTCATCGTAGCTGGCTTGCTCCTGGAAGAACTCCTCATCAACAGGATCCGCTTCATCTTCTTCAGCAACTGAGGGGGGGGGATATTTATATAGAGCAAGGGTGAGTACGGGAGTACTCAGCAAGCCATGGGAATTAAGTGTTTAATGCAGGCTTCAAGGAAAGGCTGTTGTTTTTACAATTGATTTTATTTGAACACCTTTCTGAAAACAACTAAGTGAGTGCTTCTCAAACGACACGGTTGAGACAGTGCGTCTCGTCCGGTCGGAGTTTGTGCAATGTATCAGTCTTTAGAATTGATCAAGATTGGCACCCAGCCAACAACTTTCAAACGGCCACCCGGGCCAACAACTTTCAAACGGCCACCCGGGCCTAGCTGATCCCGTCAGCTACTGATTTTTCAAACATCGAACCCCTTTCCACAACAGCAATTTCACAAGCAGTAGTCAAACAAAACTACGCTAGGAATCACCTCACATCCGCCCATGACCGTGGGCACGGCTGTTCGAACAGTTTGTTAACCTCTGCAGAGGGGGGTACACTTTACCCACACGACATTACTAACCCGGATCACCCAGCCCGTGGGGATCAGCCACGTCGGGAGACCTCCAAGCTTTCATGACAAGGCATTTCCAAAGCCGACACAGGTTTACCATATGCCGACGAGAGGGGTCCCAGACCAACAACAGGTTAGGTCCCAGACCATATTGTGCCAGGAAGCCTAGGGGTCCTCCCCGACACCACCCCGGCGAATCCACATGTCTCTCGGCATCAAGGCTCCCCTGATAAGCTAGTTACTCAGCCAGGGGTGTCCCATTCCACCCATGTGGTCGTACTTGACTTATGTTTGGATGAAATTCCAAGGAATCGGTCCTTAAGTGCGAGAGCGGGAAACCGTACACCCGATACGTTCCCCGGTCCGCGGTTTTGGAAATTCATTTAGTTCGCAAGCACCGACCCAGGTGTCGGGTTTTCCAAGTCTTTTGTAAAACCCAAGTTTTACCCAAGTTGTTTTTCAGATTTTAAGTTTGAAGGCGTCCGTCGATACTCGCACAGGGTGCACGAATATCGAGACGCATCTAGATGGTTACAAGGGGACATGATATAACAATTAACAAAGGGAGGATCAATGCAACAAATTAGGTATGTCCGCCAAACTGCCTTGCAGACGGGACAACAGATTAAGTGCGATCCTATCAGTGCATAATATTTTTCAAGCAACATAATTAAATTTTAAATATAGGATCAAGATGTTCAAAGGTGGCTTGCCTTGCTCGAGATCTGGAGCTTGATCCTCGAAATCCTCGCACTACGGGTCTTCGGGCTCCGAAACTACACGCGAAACGGGGCAACTCAATAAACGGCGAAAATAAAGCCCTATTAATGACCTCTAAGCGTGCCATTAGATAGATCTCGAGATTTGAGGAATTTTGGAAGTTGAACGGAGTCAAACGGATTTACGGTTGGGAAGATATTGAATTTCTAAGTTTATTGGATTTTTGGTCTAAAGGAAAAGGATTTAATTAAATCCTTTTTGGAAAAGAAAAGAAAAGAAAAGAAAAGAGGGAGGGAAAATAGACTTTTCTCGGGCGGCTAGGGCGTGGCCCAAGAGAATTGGGGCGGTCCGGCCGAGCTAAATGGGCCGGCCGGCCCAAGACGGTCGCGCGCGCGGGAGGGAGGAGAGAGAGCCGGTGGACCGGGCTCACCGCGCGCGGTCCCGGGTGGGACCCGCTTGTCAGCGGCTCGGCTCACCGTGCGGAGGGAGTACGTGGCGCACGCGCGCGGGCGGGGGAGGGACGCGGTGCACGCGCACGGTCTGCGGAGGAACGGATGCGGCGGGCCCACGCGCAGCCTCACGGCTCGCGGTGGAACACGCGCACGGGAGGGGCTGACCGGGGTCGGCCCGTCCCGACCTCGGCTGGGCTGGCGCCGACGTGGCGCCTACGTGGCTGCCACGTGGGCTGGCGGGAGGTAGACGACGACGCCGGCCGGAACGGACGGCGGACAACAGCGGCGAGCGGCGGAGCGAACCACGGCGATACCGGTGAAAACGAGCACACCGGGTGGTTGCACGAGACGAGGGGAGACGAGCCAACGGCTCGGATTCGCCGGAGGAAGCTTGACGGCGGCGAATCGCGGCGGCGGCAACCGGCGGTGGGAAAAGGGGAAAACGGCGACGAGGTCACGAGGGGCCGATTCCCGGCGGTGAGAGCATCTACGCGGCCACGGGAATCCGATGCTAGCGTCGGATTGGGCGGAGCTACGCCGAGCGAGGCTGGCGACGAGCGGGTGCTACGAAGCTCGAGCGGCGACGGCGGCGAGCACACGGCGAGCGACGGCAACGGTCGGGGCGGCGCCGACTAGCTACGGGGAGGCTACTCGTGCTACCACCGAAAACTAAGGGGGGGAGATGGAGCGAGGAGGAAGAACGGAGAGAGGCACTACCGTGCGGGTCGGGGCGCTGTGACGAGAGGCCGACGGCGCGGGAGTAATCTCTCCGGCCTCGGGCCGGGGAAGAGGAAGGAGAGGGCGCGGCCGAAGTCCCCTTCCGCGTCCTTGCTCGTGCCGGCTCCTCCGGCACGCGCAACGACGAACGACGACGGCGAACAGAGCACGGGGGCGGCGGCAATGGCGCGGAGGTGAATGGGAGAGGAAGGGAAAGGGGGAGGCTGGGGTTTAAATGGGCGGCAATGTCGGTTTGGGAACCGACTTAGGGCGGTCAAGGCGCGAGCTGGCGCTCAGCGCTTGCGTCCAAATCGGCGACAGGGCGGTGACGCCGGCGAGAGGGAAAAAGGAGGAAAAAGGGGGAGAGATAGGGGGGCTCGCCCCTTTCTTCTTTGGGAAAAGGAGGAGGGAGCGGAGGCGTCGCGGCAGAGGGAGGAGGGAGGCTCTGCCTCCGTCCCTTGGAGGCTAGCGCGGGAGTGGCGGGGCCGAGGCGATGACGACGGCGATGACGGCGGGGCGGTTTGGAGCGGCGCGACGTCACGGGCGACAGGCGCGGGCTGGCGCGGCAGAGGGTGACGGCGGCGGCGACCAGGCGGTCGGCCACTCGGCACGCGCGCGCGGGAAACAACGGGCGGCGCGGCTGGGCACGCGCGCTGGCTCGCGGGGCCGAGCGGCTGCAGGCGCGGCAGAGCAGCGGGGCCGGGCGACGCGGACGGCGCAGACGACGCGGCTCGGGCGGGGAACCACGCGGGCACGCGCGCGAGCGACGGCGCGCGGGGGCCGTCTTCGCGAGCGGGGAGCTCGCCAGGGAGAGGAGAAGGAGAGCGAGGGGAAGGGACACTCGGCGCGGCGCTTGCGCACGCGCGGGCAGAGCGAGGGGAAAGGGAGGGGCGCTCGGCGCGGCGCTCGCGCACACGCGCGCGCGGCGCGCTGGCGGGGCGGAGGGGAGCGGAGGGAGAGGGGGAGAGGGAGCGCGCCGGGGGAGGGGAGAGGGCCGGGGGAGAGAGAGAGAGAGAGAGAGAGAGAGAGGGAGAGCGGGAGCGCGCCGGGGGAGAGGAGAGGGCCAGGGGAGAGGGGAAGATGGGCCGAGAGAAATTCGGCCCATCGACCCCGGGGGAGGCAAAATAGACTTTTGCGGAGGAATTGATTTGGGAAGGGTTTGGATTCGGAATTGAACTCGACGATAGATCGGGGATTGAGATCTTGAGATGGCACGGACACTAGACGACAAGCGAAGAAACAAATTTCGCAATTAGGGTTTTTAGAGATAATTTTCCCGCTAGGCGCCACGACGGAACGGGCGCTACAACAGTCCAAATTATTTTTTCTGTGAAACTTGCATGTTTGCGAAGTGATACATCACATATTAATATACCTTAATTTTTTTGGCATGGGTCTGGGTTCCGGTCATCAACTCGAACGGTCAATGTTGGCTAGATACCTGCATCGTTATACGTCACAAGTTGGGGTGGTTGAACAGGAAAAACAACAAGGCAGGCGATAAGTTTTTCTTTCTAGTTAGTAATAAAGAACTTTTGGGGTGAAATCCGTAGATCTACGAAGGAACGCCAAAAGCGAAGGCAGCTCTCTGGGTCCCTACCGACGCTGGGGTGCACGGAGAAATAAAGAAGTGTGGAGGAGAAACAGCCGAGCTCATTCCCTTCGCTTCCTGGGCCTTCGTGCGTGGCGTGAGTTGGAATCCTAGAAAAGATCGATTGAGACTCTCTCCCCGGTTCCACGAAGATCTCTACGTACTTGTCTAGTCCAGGACAACTGGGATGATTGAGCACCAGTGATTTCGTATCCGGTCAAAATCTTAGCAGCCAAAGCTTCCTGTCGGAAAACAGGTACGATTCACTAGAATACCCTAATTATTTGAGTGGCATAAAAACAACAAGTGGTACTTTCAAGAGTTCAAAATCCACTCTAGGACATAGGAGGAATCACCATGGAGATTTTTTCATATAAACTGTTCATTGGATAAGACGGTCAGCTGCCATCTACGACATGAAATGATAAATGAAGAAAGAGGAGGGTGTGTTTAGTTCACATTAAAATTGGAAGTTTAGTTGAAATTGGAACGATGTGATGGAAAAGTTAGAAATTTGTGTGTGTAGAAAAGTTTTGATGTGATGGAAAAGTTGGAAGTTTGAAAAAAAAAGTTTGGAACTAAATAAGGGCCAAGTTCAAATGGGCACAAAATATCCAAAATATGATAAAACGTGCTAATATTTAAGCTAGAAACCTTAAGTAGCAAACAGTTAGCGGGTGATTTGATTTTGATCTATACTTCAAAACGAAGCATCGAATCCACTCGTTGAAGTAGATTGAATCTATACGTACAGCGCGATTTATTTTTATTTTATTTTAACGAACTCGGTTTTATTTGTCCCCCGATTATTCGCACCGACTCTGTTTCTGTTGCATTCGATCTCCCGCGGGCCGTTGCCGCGAAGCTAGGTCTCTAGGAAGAGATCGCCGGCGATTCGCGATGGTTCCGTGGCGCCGCTCCTCCTCCTCCTCTTCCGCCCCTTCCTCGCGGCCCGCGCGGCGTCCCGCCCGCACCAATGCGAGGGTCTCCCCAGACGTCTCGTCGGAATTGTCGCCGTTGGCGGGGGAGGAGGGGGCAGGCGAGGAGAGGTGGTCGGCGTTGGTGCCCGACCTTCTGGCAGATATCCTGCGGTGCGTGGAGGCCGGCTCAGAGAGGTGGCCGCCCCGGCGCGACGTGGTGGCCTGCGCCAGCGTCTGCCGCCGGTGGCGCGACGTCGCCGTCGCCGTCGTGCAGCCGCCGCTCGAGTCCGGGAAGATCACGTTCCCCTCCTCATTGAAGCAGGTGACGACCGATCAATACCCTAACTTCAACCTGTATTGGATTGCCGTCTCGTTAAACTTGGTGGATGCATAGACAATGGTCCGTTACTTTTGATTCCTGAACTCGGGAATCCATGCTTCTCCCATTGACCCCATCCAATGGATCCTAAATCCCTAATGCATTAGTTCTACTATAACTCAATATGAGTAATTGGATGGTATTTTGTCTATTAATTCTCAAATAATCTAAGAATTTTTTTACTTTGTACCTTGGGGAGCAAAAGGTCAGTTTCTCTGGACAGCATGAGTAAAGCAGCTTCCAGCTTGTGTGTTCCAATTTATCAGAGGATCGGTTAAAACCTCAATCTTTCATCATTCAAATGTAAAGTGCATACGGTCTCTCTTTTTAATATCTATTTATTTAGTTGTTTGCTATGTTCAGTTTGGGAAACTATTGTTGCTATTCTGATAAGATGTATATTTATACCAATGCTATCGCTGCAGCCTGGACCAAGGGACGCACCAATGCAGTGTTTCATCAAGAGGAACAAGAAAAACTCTACCTTTTTCCTATATCTTGGATTAACACAAGGTAAGCCTGCATGCAGTTTTGTTATCTCTTACTTAAACACTATGCAGAAAATATTAACTCTTGGCCATGTTTTTGCTCTATCTTTGACAAATGATGCCACAATGGTTATAATTTTTGAAAAGAAAATGTTAGTAGATCTTGTTTCAGAAGAAAGGATGTAATGTTTTATTTTCTTTACTGTGATCATTGGCGAAGGTGTCATGCATCTATGCTGAAGGTTATTTGTGTTCGAATAAGAATGACAAGGAAACTTTCTATTCCCTGAGGCTTTTAGACTGAACTGAAATACAGTGAGGGTTACGAAGACTCTGCTTTAACAACCTTTTAGTGTTATGGACCGTTTCAGGGAGGAGTTTCATACCTGCATGTTTATGTTTTACAATGGCCATCATGGTGAGATAGTTACAAATGGACATTTTGTTCTGACGCTTGAATAAATTGACATGCATTGTTGTGTAAACTGTATTATCTTTTTTTCACGTCCAATTTCTTTATGGGTGGTTTTCCTGTTCTAGCAGAACTAACAGATGATGAGAAATTTCTGTTGGCGGCTCGGAGGTGCAGGCGTGGGTTGCATAAGGAATATGCCATCACCATTAACTCTGATGGTCTCTTCCATGGAAGCCAGTCATGCGTTGGAAATCTAAAGTGAGGCCTAGCCGCTAGTAATTCAGTAACTTCTATTCTCAATTTTTTTGGTCAATTTTATATTGCAAATAAATTGATAACAATTTTCCTGGGAATTCCACGATGCTAATAATGACTTCGCAATTTTTGTATTTAGGTCTAATTTCACGGGAACAAAGTTCACCATTCGTGATTGGCAACCACCATATGAAGGTGCTAAGGCGTTCAGCAGCAGATCCGGTCGCTGGTTTGGAAACAAACACAGATGCCCACTGGTTTCCACGGGTGATGTAGAAGTTGGAGAGGTATCCTATAAATACAGTTTACTCAGACCAAGAGGTCCAAGAAGAATGAGCTGCAGTGTTCAGTGTCCCGTCCTCAAGGGTACTGCAGTAGATCCACAAGACGGAAAACGACTTAGCAATAGCATCCCTAGTTCATTGGTTCTGAACAGTAAAGTACCAAGTTGGCATGAGCATCTTCAGTGCTGGTGCTTGAATTTTCACGGCCGGGTTATGGTTGCATCTGTGAAGAACTTCCAGCTTATTGCTCCAGTCGAACCAGGGGAGCCGTCGGATAAGACAGTAGTACTGCAGTTTGGAAAAATTGACGATGACGTTTTTACAATGGACTACCGGCAGCCTCTGTCGGCATTCCAGGCATTTGCTATCTGCCTCTCCAACTTTGGCACAAAGCTTGCTTAACTTTGGCACAAAGCTTGCTTAACTTTGGCACAAAGCTTGCTTGTGAATAGGTAGCTCCATGCACTTATTATTGTTGTAGTATGATTTTATTGTTTTCGTTACCAGTAACAGAATTTATTTATAATACTGGCTAGGAGGATGTCTAAAATGAGGCTAACATCCTACATTACAGTCTTTGTTGCCCATTCTGACCATTTTGTTCTCGTCTCTAGCCATGTCGTCTAACAACTCCGACAAGAGATATAGCTTGTGCATGGTTACGGGAGTTCATCAGCACTTTGGAGCTAATGCGGTCAAGATCGTTGATGTGCTGAAAAGAATAGTTTGAGTAGTCCAGAGTGAAAAGATGGGATAAAGGGTTTTCAAAGTGAAACAGGCCGAAAGTGTAATTCTATATGTGAGGTGTTGCCGTATCATGTCATAATGCAACGTTGTGCTTGTGTGTTTGGGATCCTATTAAATCTGTATATGTATCCAGGATGAGGAAGACTTGTAAATCTGCAGTCCTCAGTGTAGTCATGTATGACTGCAGAATCTTTAGGTGCGATAAGACTGTTACTACAATCTTCTGAGTGGCATTCTATAGACTGTAGAGTGGAACATTTCCTTTTCGCCAATGACAGATATATAGTTTGTGCCTAATGGATATCGACTCATCAAGAAGCCATTTCCTTTTAGTGCCAATACACTTATACACGTCATGGGGTTCAAATAGTTAATCTTCCCAATTCGCAGCATAGAACGTTCAGAGAACCAAAACTTTCTGACAAAAGAAAAACGACCTTCAGATTAGCAAAGCTTTCTGAACAAAAGACGACTCTCTTCCGGAGGGAAATTAGCTGTTAAATAGGCTACTGGGTCCTTGTACACCGATCACTGATGAGGACACATCTCCATTTCTGCGCTTTGCGGAACATCCTCGCAGTGAATATCTTCATCGCACATGCCAGCATTGTCAGAATCCGTCTGCATCTCGTATAACAGAAACAAACATTCAGCAATGCGATATGGTTAACACTAAACACTGGCGCGGAAGACATGTTTACCTGCAAAGCCGTGGTCCGGCCGGCGCTCCAGCCCAGCAGCCGGCCGACGGCGTCCGCGAACGCCCGGTGCGCCATCCTCCTCCCGGCCCGGGCGACCGATCCGGCGTGCTGCACGAGCGCCGCGCAGCCGGCGAACCTCTTGCCCGCCCTGGCGCCGATCCCCTCGCACACGAGGCACAGGAACCGGCCCTTCTCCCGCTCCGCCTCGTAGAACCCCCTCAGGCCCGCGTCCTTCTCCAGTAGCTCCTGGAAGAACCGGGCCACATTGCCTTCCTCCTCTTCCTCATCCTCGTCGTCGCCGTCGTCGTGGTCGACGTGCTCACCGAAGAAGGCGCGGCAAGCCTCCACGGCGGCGGCCTGCGGGGACACGGCCGCCGGCACCGGCGGCTCCCGAGGGGGTTCCGCCGCCGGCGGGCCCCAGCCACAGCCCCAGGACGCGGAGGGCTCGGGTTCCGGGGGCGGGTCGCACACCCACGGCTTGTCCGGTAGCGCGGCGCGGGATGGGGAGGCCGCAGCGGCGGCGGGGCGGGGCGGGGCGCCGAGGGGCTCCCACCGCTCGAGATCGAGGGCGAGGCGCTCCTGCTGCTTTCGCTCCTTGCGCTTGCGGCGCTCCTCGCGCTTGAAGGCCGTCGACTTGCCCGGCCGGAGGAGTGGCTGGCGGCGGCTAGGGTTTGGAGCGAGGGAGGCGTCGACGCGGTGGGGCTCGGGGTCCATGGCCGTCGCGCCGCGATGCCGCCTGCCGCCTGCGGCTGCGGGTGTCGCTGCTTACGCCTTACGGGCCAAGTGGACAACCTGGGCCTCGGCCTTTTTCCCATGGGGGACCAAATCGAGCGAAGCGTGGAGAGCGTGGTCGAGTTCGGGACAGTGTCACTGCTTCGATGTTGTGGAGCTATCAGATGTTCTGTTCTTGAAACGTGACAGAACGGATGTGTCAACTCCTGCGTATGCACGCCCTGTCACGTCATTTAGGATACACATTTTGCTTGGCTATGCAACAACTAAACGTTGGCACATGAGCTCACCTAATAAAGAAACTTTACTCGAAACTATATAGATTGAACATCGAAAAACGAAAGGCACGACCGTGCAACAAAAGAACAACGGGTAATAATATGGCAGCACTGAGTTCCAATGGTGCAATGTGTAGAAAAGGCTAGCAACAGCAGAAAATCAACATCATTGCGTCCTTGACAACATGAATTTAGGTAAATCTCACCATAGATCATTGGATGGGCGTTGATACATTCACCATTTCAAACACTTGCATTATCATCTATTGTTAGTTACATTGAAAATGACTTGTAATTGTATTTTTTTTATTTCTTTTTATGTTTGAACTCGACAAGATTCACACATACTGCTCCATTGTGTCTCATAATTCATTATTATTTTTGTCCATCGTCCATTAATATTATACCAACGCCATCCCTTGTTGCACTTACACCACCAACTACGATTTTCGGTTCAGTTGCGTTCTCTCTAATTATAGATGGAGGAGATGTTCACGTTGCTTTTCTCTTTTAAAAAAAGGAAGTTCAAAGTTAAAGAAAAATGTCACATAATAGGCTATTTCATATGTTATTATGCCAGATTTGCCAGTATACCATTTCATCATTAGGCATTCATATGTTGCACTATATCATTTCTAGCAAACATGTTTCAATGCACAAGCCATACCGTTGAAAATTCTAACCCTATTTTCTATATCCCGTTCGATTTTTTATTTTAAAAATAGCTTGGTTCCTTTAATATTTTATCATAATTAACCTGTTTGTTTGTGTCGGTGATATGGGCCCGGGGTATCAGGTTTAGAGGGAGGAGGCTGCCCCCCGATGCCACGTGGCCCTCCCCCGAGGGGAGTCAGGCCTGAGGTAGGACGGTGGCCACTCCTTCCCAGAGACTGGATGGAGGAGGCTGCTCTCCAATGCCACGTGGCCCTCCCCCGAGGGGGGTCGTGCCCGAGGTAGGGCGGCGGCCACTCCCTGGCCGAGACTAGAGGGAGAAGGCCGCCCCAGACGCCACGTGGCTCCCACCCAAGGGGGGATCGGGCCCGAGGTCGGGCGGCGGCCGCCCCCTCCCGTGACTAGGGGTCGGGCTCCCCCGACCCCCTCTCTAGGTCACCACGTACGGTGGGTTAGGTGTCCGTCTTCAGGTGCCCATCTACCCGCATTTATGGCGTCCCGAGCGGTTGCGCCACGCCGCATTTAATGTGGCGTGCAGTGCACTCAACCGGTCTGTGACCGGTCAAATGACCGATGGGACTGGCTAGTGCGCCTGTGCGCTGCTCGTGTGTCAGGCGGCGTGCAGCCTGACATGTCCCATCAAATAGTGATGGTGAGAGGTTCTCATCCTCTTATCCCAGCCGGAGTCGGTCCTCCCGCTCTGGTCAAAGCAAGGCTCCCGTTTCCCGGTGTAATAGGAGCCCAGAAGTCTTCACCCATTAAATGGTGACTGACAGGGGCACCCCCCGTGTCAGGCGGCAAGATTTGATGGGCCCCATCATCAAGACGACGTGTGCTTGGCTTCCCAAGTTAAGAGACAAGACATGTATTTAATGCAAAGATTATCATACTTCTCCACTGGAGCTAGGTTAGGTTGTTGGGCCCATGTGGTAACCCCTTGAGGTATAAAAGGAGGTCCAGGCCTAGTGATGGAGGGGGGAACTTCCGAGCGAACTCGCGCTTGGTGATGGAGGGGGGGAACTTCCGAGCGAACTCGCGCTTGGGTCTCGCAACCCCAAGCACTGGTGTTCTACATTCAATCAATCCTGCACAGGAGTAGGGTATTACGCTTCATAGCGGCCCGAACCTGTATAAACCTCTTTGGTCTGATCGTCTTGGAGGGGCCTAACCCCCTCAAGACCACACAGTTTCGCTCACCAAATCCTCGAATCTCACCCGCTGCCCCCGGTTCCCTGGTGGAGGAGTTCATTCTCCGACAGTTTGTTTTTTTTTTGTTGAGAATTCACCCCTATGAACACACGCACGCAAAGCACAACGCCATTAAATCCTGAAAAATTCGCTCCCACGGAGAGTCGAACCTAGGATCTAAGGTGCTACTGAGCCTCTTATAACCACTAAGCTACATGCCCTTTCGCAATTAACTTGTTTGTCTGACTAAACATCACTCTCTCAAACTACTTCCCAAAACGTTTTTTGCAGTTGGCGGAGCAAGAAATTATCAAAGCCAAAGGCTAAGTAGGGCTCAACTAATGGAGTATTTTCCTCGAAAAATTACATGGTGAATTAAGAGAATTTAAGCATGATTATGGAGGCAAGCCTAGGGCTCAACCCAAGCAGCCCTAGGCTTTGCTTGTGCCCCTGGCGGCAACTACTCATTTCTGCTCACTCTCTTCTGCTTCAACTTCCTCCGTCCCAAAAAATCAGAGATTGTTTGGGGCATATCAGAGATTCAGAGCTGTTCGAACCGAACTGAACTTTATATCTGTTTATGAAAGAAAAAATAAGCATGCAGGGACATTGAAATTCAAATTACTTTGATGATTTTACCTACTCCTACTTGTCTGGACATGTAAACTGAAGTTCAGAATAGTTCACTTAATACACTTAAATTGTAGGCTTGCTAATGGAGCATGATCTTCCCGAACTGCCAAAGGCCATCTCACTTGGCAATATCTCCTAAAAGGCCAGTTGTACAGGATTGTTAAATGGATGATAAGAGTATCGCAAATGGCAAAACATGATGTGCCATTATTAGCGAGTAGAACACGTTGCATCCGTCTACTGTGCAGTCAGGATGAAGTGCAGAAAATATCTATCACTAACTAAAATAGCACTAGTAGTGTCCTAAGGTGAACCGCACATATTCAGAGCAGTAGATGACTACCATCTAATATTATGCCCAGTGCCATGGCTACTCTAATCCCTGAAATCAGATACACAAGTATGCACCCTGTCAGGACCAAATGAGTGACGATGATTAGCATTTGAATCACTTTGGTGAACAGGTGTGCATTCCACCTGTAGTTCCCCCTTTTCAACAAGAGGGCATCTTGGTCCAGATCGTGTGTCAAGCATCTAGGTTGCTTCGTTCATCCGAGGATACCACTTACTACAACACCTCGAAAGCTTGACAGGTTTTCAAGCTTCCTGCTAAATGCTAATGATATAGTAGTATGATCAATGCGAAAGAGTCACGAGCAACGTGGCAAATGGAATAGCCGGCATTCCGGCAACAATGTACCAAATAAAACTGCTGTCTATCATGGCATGGCAATCTGTACATGAACCAGACAAGACAAATGAGAGTATTACTGGAATCACATGAGAAAAAGCTCAGGGAGGATATACATTTGAGCTGACATGAGAAAAAGGCATGGAAGCCTGACTTCTTGTGCCATTTTATTCTATGATACATGCAATTACATTTGATGATCAACTCAACCTTTTATGGACTAAAGAGTACTACATGATGTATGGACTGTAAGGAAGCAAACAGAAGCTATGCTGTATAGATATGTGATTTACAACAGATTTAAGCCAACGCCAACTTACCTTGAGTTCACAGAGTACGCAAATATGGCATGCACAACGACAATTACCTATGTACTGGTATACAAAAAAGCTGCTAATAGCCAAGATTGCGACAGCAAACTGAGGGGGGCATCCAGGGAAAATTTGGGCGCTGGCAGATACATGGCCGTGCTGTCCTTCAAGGCATTATGAACAGATATTGGTCTTGAGGGAAGACATCATATCTCAGCATCCAATGAATTAGGCCTTTCTACCACCTAAAACAAGCAGCCAAAATGAATGTTCAGCAATGGCTCTGTGACAATTGGAAATATAAGCAAAACAGAAGAAAAATAAGTATTACATCTGCAAATCTTATCTGTCGTGGCCTAGGAGGTTTAACATTATTCTCCTTTGGCTGAATTGAGGCCCAGGGAGTTTGTTTCTTCGACTGCAATTGAATTCCAAGAAAAGATGGCACTGGTGGTTTGCTTGTTACGGATGGTAAAGTGCGAGAAAGCCAAGATTCTGAAGGTGATCTTGGGACTGGTAATGGGAGTAGAGATTGCAAAGGCATATCCCTTTTGGAAACACTACTATCTTCCAGATGACCAGAAGTTTTCCCATCATCCAAATTCACTGATCTTAACTTTTCAGAAGGTGCTAACAACGTGCATTCTGTAACTTCAGAGACCCTTTCTGTCAATGGATCATTATCTTCACCTTTCCCAATAGGGTTTTTCCCGACAATCTGTTCTCCAAGCTGAGAGCCACACCCACCAGCATCCAGTGATGTCCTTGAATCCAGTAACAGAACCGAGTGGCTAGTTTCTGAGTCAATATCTCCACGGTGATCCATTGATTCTACATGCACTGGTCTATCCAGCCCTGAGCTAATGGAGCTTGACCCCTTTAAACTACTGCGGTCTGATCCAAGCAATGAACCACGATCATGGTCTCTTCCAAGTGAGCTGGAACCATTACTACTACTCATTTTGTCTTCTTTTACCCCTGTTCCAAAAGACTCATCTGCCTTACTCGATGATGACAGGACAACATCCCTGTAATAGGGAGACATACCACCACCTGCGGAATGATGGAATGGTGAAGACCCATTGCCCGCCTGCGAGTCACTCCAGAACGTCAGCTGGTTTGATTCACTTGTCAGCTTGCTCCTCCCATCCTCTCCTGGACGAACATACTTCTGCTCTAATTTGTGCTTGTATACATCCTCCCAGGACTGCTGCAACACAATATACAGTGAGATGTTACTCATCCCTAGCACTAATAACAAGTAGCATAAATTCTGAACTCATGAAATGGACTGTGTAACATGTATCTGCATCAGTACCCCGTTGGAAGCACACCCAAGATGCTTGTTTTGTGAGCTCCGGGCAAGCGGACTCGGCGCCCCTCGTCCCCTGCCTTTGGATGCGAACTCCCGGACTCTCCCATTCCCCCGCGGCTTGCCACGCTTCATCGCAGGCATTGGATTCAGAAGTAACAATGAACCCTTCACACAGAGACTAGGGAGCAAGCCACATCCCTTGGAGGCAAAACCCCGGGTGCTATGCACATCATAGTCATCGTCGTCGTCTTCATCTTCCTGCTCCTCACGTCTGGGATAGCTGCAAGACAAATAATTGGGAGGCAAATGCTGGTAGGGGAGCTGGACGGGCGTCCTCCTCCCGGGATCATCGCCACTGCTTCCACTCGCGTTAGACCCAGCTGCACGCGCAAGCTCGCGGCCAGAATTGCTCGTGGCGCTGGCTGCCCCGGCCTTCCGGAAGGTGTACTGCGGGGAGCCTATGGCCACCGCCTGCGCAGCCGGGAGGAATCTATCCATCATGATGCCGCGTACGCCTGCCTCGGCGCCGGCGGCGGCACGGGAGGTGGGCTCTGGCATGCCGCTGAGGCCGCTGACGCTGCAGTTCACGGTGAAGGACTCCGTCCTGGAGAGCGTGTCGAGCGCGTCCGAGAACCTCTCCTCATCGTCGTCGTCGTCATCTCCCTTCCGCAGTACCGCCGCCACGGACACCACCTGCTTCTCCGTCACTTCCTTCTTCGCCTGTAACACCGCCGCCTCCGCCACCTGCGCCCTCTTCTCATCACGCGCCGGCGCCGGCGCCGGAGCGCCAGTCCGGGAACAGGCGGGGGACGCGTCCACGCCATGGAGTATCCCCACATAGTGCTCCCCGAGGGCGTCGTGGTATGGGCTCCCGTCGATCTCATCCTCCACGCCGTGCTCCAGCGGCTGAGGATGGGACGCGGTCGTGGGCGACGGCGGCGCGCGGCGGGTGCGGACGCTCTTTGGCTGCCCGGGCCGCTGCTCCCAGACGAAGGGCACCGCGCCGGGGTGGCGGACGGGGCCGGAGTTGAGGTCGGCCTTGTGGTAGGGCAGCGCGTCGGCGTGGCGCACCGACCGGAGCGGCGCCCCCAGGTCGATCCGCTTGCCCCCCTCCGCCATCAGACGATCCGCTCGCATCGCTCACAAACTACACAGCGAAGAGGAGGCGAAGCAGGGGGGGACGAATTCGTCCGATTGCTTCGGCCGCCGCGGACGGGAGATAGGATCTGCGGCACGGCGTGTGGATGGCGGCGGGCGAACACTAGAAAAGGAGAACGCACTGCGGTTTCGGTGCGGTGCGAGCTTACTTGCTCTACTCGCGGCGGTCGTGGGGCAAACAGATCAGCCGCCAGCGAAGCCGCCTCCTCCACTCCACTATAGCGAGTGCGAGCGCGAGTGCGGAGTGACTCGGCGGGGCGCGGTGCGGGGGGTGGCGGTGCTCGCGCGTGACCGCGTGAGTGTGCGATGTTATTGCTACGCGTGCGACGAGGGACGGTGACCTGGGGGCGCGGGCGGGCGGGTGACGACTAAAAATTGTAGACTTTCTGCGCGATCTGCCTAAAAAGTTGATGCGAGCATGGCAGGGGGCAGCTACGAGTATTTTTCTACTACTACCATCACTGTGGCTGCCGGAACATGCACGGGGACGGGGGCCAGGGCTGAGCTGCCTCGGTGCGAAGCCCGTGGCATTACTGCGACGGACATGGACGTGGCCAGATCCGCGTTCACGCTTGGCAGGTGGCGGAGTTGGCAGAAACTGGTTGCCATCTTGGATGCCTGCGTGTGAATTGGTCAATTGGGTTAGATCTCGTTTTGTTTGGTCAGTTGTAGCAAGGAACTAGATTCGGTTGGGATCCTGTTTACTATAAGAGCAAGGTCAATAGTACAGCCAGCTGCTTACTCCAATTTTGATCCATCGCAGCTATAGGTAACATTGTAGCCAGTAAACACAATAATCAAGCTATACTACTATGGCTCACACAGTACAAGAAATTTTATTTTAATCTCCCTTCTATCCGCACTCTCTCTCTCTCCTAATCCCCTGTTCTCGCCGGCGATTGCTTCTTAGGAACTAGGCATCCAAGCTCATCCATGGCCAAAAAGATGAACAAATTTATGGCTATATACACATCCGTTTTGTACTATACATCTGCTCATCTACATGGAAGGAATCGGTACAAAACAATATATACACATACGTATGCTACTACTTCGCTTAAGCTATCTGATTTTTCTAGAGAAAGATGTTATTCTATTTTCTCCATCAGAAAATATAAACAGCTCATCGTGCAGGCTCACGCTGCCCGTGTAGCTGGGGATAGAGCAAACGGGTCACCGGAGCCGAGCTCGTCGTCCGGCGACTAGCGTTGAGCTAGCCTTCTGCACGCGGAACGGTGGAAGATAGAAGTGAAGCAACCGGGCAAACCATCAAGCTGATTCATAAGCACAAGACCTCAGAACTCAATCCAAGCTTTGTGCTCTCTTGGTCTCTCTCTTCTACTTGCTCTCCATGGCCACGGTAGACGAGAGCCGCAACATCGACCGACGAGGGCAAGGGCAACGACACGATGGTGGCAGCCGTGGCCGAGGCGGACGAAGTTGGCGGCGACAGCTGCAGTGGACAAGGTCGGCGGCAGCGGCATACAGAGGCGACGAGCATGGTTGACAAGGACGAGGGTAGCGGTGGTCGTAGTGGACAAAGGCGGCAGCGGCGGCGGACGCGGACGTGCGCGACGATGGCGGCGCGGCCCTGGACTTGGACGCTCCGACGCATGCAACGGCGAGTAGCACGGGTGCATCGCTTGCTACGGGCGGGCCCACGTCCTCGAGCCATGCGTACAGCCGGGCGACTAATTAGTCGCCCGCTTGCGCCCTCTCCCCTCCAGCTCAGCAGAAAATCCTACATGGATCTCCTATCGCCTATTATTGTACGACCCGATAATAATTGGTTTGTTGGTTGTGGATTGATTCATGTTTGTAATTAATTTAGCCTTTAAATTTCAAATCAATCTAGCATAGAATGATGATGTGTACTGCTAATCCGTCAGGCAAACGCATAGTCGTTCTACTGCTAAAATCATGCCTTGTTTAGTTTCATCAATATAAAAAAAACGGTGTTTCGTCGCTGAATCAATATTTCTACTAACATTTAAAAAGTTTCGCAACATGGACAAACCAACTACATTAATTATTAAGTTCCAACAACTTAAACATTAAAAAAATTATAAAATCAAAACTTACCATGTGCAAGGGAGAAAACATTGATTTTTTAAGATAATGAAAAGAATCTTGGTCTTTACATCAAAGAAGCTACAACCGAAGAAAAAAAAACAGTGATAGGGGTTCATAATGTCAATTACCAGAATTACTCCTTAGCGGTTTTCTCTATTTTCTCAAAAAAAAAACACTCATATCCGACTAAAAACGATGAAATTTGAATAGGTTTTATAAAAAACTGAAATTCAATGTTATTTTTAGTTTAACTGATGTACCGAGTAGTTTGTCAGTTCGAACAGGGTTGAAATCTCAAAATTTGGCAGAAAAACGACCGGTTTTTCTTCTTTTTTTTTTAGGGAACGACCGGTTTTTGTTGGTTTTATAGTGTCTGGCCCTGGACGCACATGGTGATATATTCTATGATAGTGGTGATGAGTTACCGCGTCAGTGTGAGGAAGAAACAGTATTGACATGGTGAGTTACTTGGCTACTGCATGTAAGACTGTTACTTCAAACCATAGGAAGACAAAACTGCTTGTTCTGTTTGGGATTACTCCCTCCGATACAAAATAGAATTTAAATTTTGTTCAAAAATGCTTGTTAACTTTGAAGCATTTTTTGTCACGTCAATTATTTCTAATTTAAATTTTTCTCGGTCATGTCTCTAACTACCTTTTCACTCTCATCCAGATAGTATTTAATAGGGGTACAATAATCATTTCTCGTAAACCTTAAATTTTACAAATAACCTGGAACAACAATAATTCTATAACAGATATTGTACTACTTGTCAAAACTCAACTCGATACGCCATGTAGGACTGTCCGCCGCATCAGGAAAATGGCTGTCATGGCACTGTTTCTAACCTACAACGGCCTAACTATACGCTGGTAGGTACTGCGTCGCAACATTTTTCGTTATCGCCTAGTATGAGTAGATACAATGTCATCTTCGTCATTTTCATCAGCACGTGCAGGTCACTTCAGAGCAAAACCCCTTTCATTGACAGCATGGAGTGAGGATTGAGGACCAAGGGTGACGAGCGCGATGAATTTTGTGGCGATCGATCGACGACACTACCGAGCTAGGGGTGGAGAAATTAATAAAGAATCAGAATTTAGAAATGCCCATTAGTCCATTACGTTGTACATCAAGGTGCATGTGGTTCGTTTGAAAAATGAAAATCGCGCTGGACAAGACGAGGCGTTGTGGATCGATCGCTTGAATCGTCGACGACTCCGGCCTAAGCAACCAGATGAAAAGTGGTGCGTTCAATAGGCTGTTGACTAATAACCAGTAGTTGACTAAAAAAAAAAGAGAAACCAAATGCATCTCTCCCTCATCCATCGGTTGCACAGCTGGAGGCTTGCAGCATATTAATACCGAGACTGTCTATATATTTACCGATAAATTATTTTTTTCAAATATAATTATAGTGTAATTATATTGTATATGATATTTTTTTGAACGATACGGTATATGATATATAATTACAGTATAATATACGTGTAACTACGCTATAACGGGATGTAATTTTGAAAAAATCGCGTTAGCACGCAACGATAATACTAACACGCTGCTCGCACGGAGCAAAGTATGTGGGATCTGTCTCTCACACGTTAAGGTGGAGTTATTATTCAATCACTCTGTTGAGAACAAGCCCGCAAGATCGTTGCCTCCTGAATCTGCCGCCAAAGCATGAGCCATTGGCCAATTGCACGTTGCATCTGTCGCCTGCGAACGTCAAACAAACAGAATCACGTATCCGGAGGTTAATCCAACGGTTAACAAAATCGATAAATTTCGAGGAGGAAATTTGTCGACACACATCTATCGAAACCGATCGGCAACACGCGTCACCTGTGTTCATGCCCGGCGGTTCACTCGAGCGGCATTGCAATTGCAGCAAGCTAGCCCGGCAGGAAAAGGACCAGGCACACCTTGCATGAGTGCCCCGCGGGTCACCGCGGTCTCGCCCATGTGTGACGGTGTGACTGTGTGAGCCGATCGATTCGGCACGTACGTACGCTGTACGCCCGCGCGCACGGGACGGGAGAAGGACCATGAGGAGATCGACCGACCGAGGTATCGTGCGCTTGAATCAACCGGCAACCATTCGTTCGCTCGTTAAACCTGTCGGGCCACGCGGTCCCGGCCGCCGGGCGCCGTCCACCACCACGCATGCATCCCGTTCCCGTCCCGGCGTCCCGCCCCCGCCCCGTGAGCCCACCCACTGTCCGTTCCACCTCTCGTCGCAGCGCCGGACGCCTCCGTCTTCTGTTCTACTGCCAGGTCTGGGTTCTTCTTCAGCAGTGTCCGGTAGTTTCGGTTGCCCCACCGTCGGGTACGTACGTCTGTGAGTTGTCATGGGAATAAACAGCTCTGCGCCTAGTCTGCCTAGTGGTGCACCGGTACTACTGGTACCACACGGAGAGAGAGAGAGAGAGAGAGAGAGAATTTACTCTGCTTTTCTCAAGGAGCACGGACCGGGCGAAACCGATCCGTGCATGCGAAGTGTGAACTCCTCCCCCGAGTTCAAGTCACCCTGTATTTTTATCCTCAAGTCACCGTGTATTTCACCGGGGCGAAACCGATCCGTCGATCCGTGCGTGTGAACTCTCCTCTTTTGAAGTCATCGTGTACGCTACATCACGGTCGTTGTACAAAACGTAGTCTTTCTACAAGGAGTTTGCTCGAGTTTCACGAGAGGGAAAAGAAATTGGTCGACATGCTTCGTTTTTTGCCTTGATTATCAGGTACTGTTCGTGTTCCCTGATCTCGAGGAAGAAAGTTTTATGATACCCCCTGTCTCTTAGGTTCGAAGCAATATGAGGCCCGGCGACTGTTGGGGCTCTAGATCTCTCCAGCCTGTGATCATGCTGCAATTAAAAGGGTCATAGACTCTTCCTTGTCACGAAATAAGTATTTCATTTTCCTTTTTTTTTCCTAACTTTTGTTTGCAGACGCCGCATGTGCCAACTTAGCAAATACTACTTCCTCGACCCAATGTAGTAGTCTGTAGTACTACTTCCTCGACCCAATGTTGTTTAGGCCCTGTTTAGTACCTAAATTTTTTTCTCAAAAACATTACATCGAATCTTTGATACATGTATGAAACATTAAATATAGATAAATAAAAAACTAATTATACAGTTATGGAGGAAATCGAGAGACGAATCTTTTGAGCCTAATTAGTTCATGATTAGCCATAAATGCTACAGTAAACTACATGTACTAATGATGAATT